ATTTAATGGGTTTTTTTAAACAGAATAAAATAGGTAAAATTTTATTGAAAAAAAACCAAACAGACAAAATTTACGACGTATTGTTGATTTAATATGCTGAATCATTATTAATGGAATATAGGCCTACCTATTATATTTCTATAAATTAATCAACAATTATCTCATTAACCACACTATCGTAAATTGGCCTATTTTGGTCTAGCATTATTGAAGTATTATTAATTATTCCCTAAAGCATTATTCGAGCATTTTTATTATTATTATTGTTATTATTATTATTTATTTATTTTATATATATATTATTTATCAACCATATTAACATTGAAATCATCAATATGCATATGTGGATAAAATTATCGCAGAAAATAAACTCATAATTTATAAGATTATGTTTTAAAACAGAATCAAATAGATAATGTTTTTATTTAAAAGCAGGTTTTGCATGGACGTAATTTTATTTAATATGATGATTATTACTATTTCATTAATCAAACTATCGTAAAATTATTATTATTATTATTATTATTATTATTATTATTATTATTATTATTATTATTAAACCAAAGAAATTTTACATTTACGACGTATTGTTGTTTTAATAGGCTGAATCATTATTAATGGTATATAGGCCTACCTATTATATTTCTATAACTTAATCAACAATTATCTCATTAATCACACTATCTTAAATAGGCATATTGAAGCATTATTGAAGTATTAGTAATTATTCACTAAAGCATTATTCGAGCACCTTTATTATTATTATAATTATTATAATTTATTTTTTAATATATCATTTATCAACCAGATTAACATTGAAAACATGAATATGCATATGTGCATAAAATTATCGCAGAAAATAAACTTATAATTTAGAAGATTATTTTTTAAAACAGAATCAAATAGATAACGTTTTTATTTAAAAGCAGGTTTTGCATGGACGTAATTTTATTTAATATACTGATTATTACTATTTCATTAATCAAACTATCGTAAAATTATTATTATTATTATTATTATTATTATTATTATTATTATTATTATCATTATTGTTGTTTGTTTATTTTTTGTTTTATGTATATGCCTAGGCCTATATAATATCTATTATATACATTTAATAATTTAATTAGAAATATTTATATAAACTAATTGTTAAAAAATATAATATACTGTAATGTTAACAATAATATAGGCTAAGCTAGACCTAATCAATTATTGATGTAATAAAGGCAAATATTTAGAACATCATTAATACAACACCTTCATGACAGTTCAGCCCTCCAAATCTTGTTTTAATAAATAACTGAATTCACTTCAATGATATATTCTGATCTTCATTCATTATTATTATTATTATCATTTACTTTTTATTATTATTTATTATTATTATTATTATTATTATTATTATTATTATTATCTGTATTATTATTATTATTATTATCACGTCTTTGCCATACATTATCGTTGTTTTTATGGAAGGCATCTTGTACAGGGACATGTTTTTTTGCCTAACCAGTCTTACGTTTTGAGTGAAATAAAATTATGAATTATGAATTATACCAATGTCATCTATCGATAAAAACATCGATTCGATTAATTAACAGCAGCAGCATTAATTGTTTAACCTATTATTATCATTCAATAAGCAGCGCCCATTATTTAGCTGGTGTGTAGGAGGTCATCATTACATTTTCGGGAATAATGTTTGTATGGACAATCTGCTCAAATAATATGAAGAAACTTCCGTACAGAAGGGGTGAAGGTGACGTGGGATGTGTGTGCACGATGAATATAGTCAGCTGCTAATATTGTTGGAGCCTGGCACGATCGACCAGTGCCATGGCGTAACCGTACATTTTGCGATGAAAGAATAGAGTAATGGGAAAAAAGTTATTACAATAATTTCCTTGTACTGTTGTAGAAGTGAGGAACATGATCTTAGTGTCCAGTTGCCCCGTGTGTGGTGAAGAAAACTTACCACTCCTATATTATATCCAGGATACCAAGGAGTATTTTTTAAATTAGTTTATAGGCAGAATAACTAAGAATATACCAGAGAAGTTTCCTAAGGGAAACCCCTTTATAAGAGAAACATTACACATTAAAGATGCTTTACACAGACACGTCTGATTTTGAGGGTCATGGAGTTGAGTTTTTGTTTTGGTCGTGAGACTAAATAATGGAAAAAAAGAACCCAGGACTTAGAAGGCAAACATACTGGGCACTCTGGGAGAACAGTCTTTTTGACTGAAGAGTCCACCCAGTAAAAAAAACAAATAAAAAAAAAACAAAAAAAAAAACCCCAAAAAAACCCAGTATATATCCAACAAGCTATTCAACTCAATTTAAAGTTTAATTTCAATAGCTTGGACTAAATTTACTGCTGACATGATGTTCCAAAGGAAGCTGAATTAGATTTACCTTTAATTAAGGCTAGTACCATCGTGACCTTATTATATAGGAAAACATTACACTGTTAACATATAATGGTTCATAATTTCATATACATGGACAACATATGAAAAGCGAATGACACAGATGAGGTTCATGTAGTTTTACCAACAATCTCGTTGGCAAAAACCCATACATTTATCTTTGAACCCAGAAGCAGAAGAAACTTGGTAATTCGGTTTTCTTTGGCACATAGCAATCCACCAGTAATTCAAAACAAGTTTTCTCTTCGTTCTCCAACTTCCGTTCTGGACCAATTCCAAAGCTTTCACAGACAAGTAGGCATGATTTATATTTACCTCGATGTTGATTACATAGAACAATAATATATATATTGCCAACTTGTTGTACCGTTTCTGTTTTCTTTTAAGAGAGAGCATGAAATATCACTTTAAGTAGTTAATCTACACAACTTAAAACTAGACGAATATCTTGCATTATCCATGTATGAATAATGCAAGACGTCACAGAATAATTCGTCGAACTAAAATCTGAGTGAATAGCCTATACAGATGGTTTCGCCTTGAAATTAATTAACCAGATTTATAGAGTTAAATATAACCATTGAAACTCAAGAAGACAAAAAAGATAAACTTCTATATTTTCAAAAAGAAAAGAGTAGAGCGACTATAAATTTCGACTATAAAACTCTGTTCTTCAATGATAAATTATTATTTTAATTTGAAAGCATGAATAATATTTCTGTGGAACTGAAAAAAGGAAATAGTACGGTATTGTAAAGCCATCACTATTACAGTATTTCGCAAAGGTCTATTCATGTTTACTGGACTTTATCGTTGATTTCAATCAGCATTCGATTCACACAAGGGCAAAATTAAGTTTAATCGACCTATTGACTTGCACTGACTCATCAACAAAACTCAACTGATTAAAACCTAATTTACACATAAGAAAATGGAAATTACTAATATTGCTTTGAAAAAAAAAATCACAAATTGTTAATTAAACCGGTAAATAATTTATATGGTGTATTTCTATTGTTAAACCTGAGCAAATGCGTTTTGAAACAAATGTTCGTAAATGCCTGGTGTAATACATTCTGTTAGAATCTTAATTCACTGGAAACGCGTTCGTTAAATTTAAAAAAAAAGGAACCATTTATCTTTACTGAAGATCATCTAATTCTGTAACTATACGAGCATTCTGGTCCATTCACACCCGACACCACTTTTACACCACTATGTGTGTAAAAGGATATTAATAATTCCAAAACATTGAAGTGTCCGAAAGTGACATGTCACATCGCTAGTAATTATGTGTAATTATCTAGGTGTACTTGTATTAACTGAGTACTACAGAGAAAGGGATGTGGGGTTTAGGAAGACTGTACGTACTATAATTTTAAAACGATCAAATCAGATTTTGAACATTGTTGGTGTAATAAAAGCATGAGAATATTACTGTATTTCTGTATAGTCAAATCGCGTCAATATTTTGATTTTTGTTTTATATAATTACAAAAAACGAACAAAAATTAGCACAAAACAACATTAAATAACAACTTTCAAAACGATTATACTTATATTATTTATTTTTATATTCATATATAAATCAAACTATATGTATATAAATCTGTTAAGAAAATAAAGATATTCATCCCCCAAATGATCTGTTAAATTTGTTGCATATTTACAAAGGCAATGGAATGACAATGTATTTTTATTAGAACGGATATTGTTCTTTAACTAATGCTAAAAGGTAATCCAAGTAATTATTGCTATACATATTTATAATCAGGTAACATAAATTTTCCAACATAGCATCAATTTCATTTGCTATAATTAAATTTCTTGTGTTAGTTAATTAGGATCAACACGAAATTAATACCTATACCTAACAACTTAAGACAACCAAGAAACCATAATACTGTACTGTAATTAAAATGCCGAGTCGTCGGACTGAAAATATTCGTTTTACACAGATTACAAATACAAAGACAATAAAAAAGTTATGAAACGCACTGTTTTCAACCAAAGTTTTCTGGATTGATAAAAAAAACCCGAATCACTTTGCGAAGGTCAATTTAAATTGTAAAACAATAATTATTTTATTACTTATACATCACTCCACATTTTCGATTTTCCATCCCGAGAAAACAAGGGTAAAATCGGAAAATTTATACTGTATTTAAAATTCATACAAGATTTACGCCGTTTATACGTTGGTACTTGGCGGTGAAGTGACACTTTCGGCATTAACATTCTCTGAGGAGCTTCACATGTATCCGCTATAAAAGAGTTCACATTTTGGAAAAAGTTTGCATTACCGTATTTTCTTTAGTTAACCTTAAATAACATCAAATAATACCATGATTTAAACAGAAGTGCATAATATGTTATGATGTATATAGGGCTAGCATATTGCTAACAGCGCCACCAACTCCAACTAAAAAACTATCGCGCCTTACGTGGCGCAAATGGTTAGCCATTCTTTCTGGCCACCTTTAATTAACAATCATGTTTGGCTTCTATCATTTCTCTAAACAGTTGCCGCATTGGTACATTTCTTTCTATAAAGTTCCTATTGAAATGATTAATGGAATCATTTGAAAGCTGTCTGAATCCAGGAAGTAATGTTATTAGTTTCATCTCACGCCGTGCGCAAGTGGCTGGGTAATGGGTTTGTGTAAATTCGTGCAGTGCATCGTAAATTCTCAGTTCCAGCTGCTCAATACCAGATGGGCAATCAACGTCAGTCACATCTATAAAGCCAAAATTTTAAAAAAAATGACAAAATATATTGAAAAACTAATTTTAGCCTAGCATCTACTGAAATCATGTTAACTTTGATATATAAATATATATTCGAGCAATGTTATTATAATTTATCCATTTGCTTGTATTGCTTTTATGGTGCCATCTGAAGATACTTCAACTATCCTTAAAGTTTCCAAAAGTCTTTGTGGAAATACCTACAATTGATTTAGCGTTTAATAAATAAACATTTTAATAAATAAATATTAACACATGGAAAGGCAAAGGAAGCCGAATGACAATGCAGTAATAACTCGCACATTAACCACAAATGAAGCAATTACAATTATACGTGATTTTGGCAACATCGTGCAAATAACTGGGTCCACACGAGAACCTACGCAACACACACTTTAACCCACTGCATGTATTTATTTATTTTTTTTAAATTTTATTTATTTTTTTTTTTTTGCGAACAGTAATTCGTGTCTTCATGTGTATTTACCATACTATTCAGTTTACGTAAGAAATGAGTAAAGCGCATTGCCAGAATGGATGAAGTTTTTGAAGTATAATGGTGCGATTAGAGTTCTGAAGCTTCGAAATTTCGTCTATGATTCAAGTAAACATACAGATGAAGGCAATGCAAACTATGCAATATTGATACAGGTGACGTTACTTAGAATTGTTTAACGATTAGTGATGACGTATATTGAAAAAATTGAAATCTGATTGAGATTGATGGAAGCACGATTCTGAATCTTTAAAACAATGCAAACAGACCAATGAGAGCATACCTGCATTGATGAGTGCTATTGCTTTCAATAAAACATATTCTTCCCTCTGGATATCCAACTCTCGCATTCTTTTAACGAGGTATAAAGATCGATCAGCTAGCGAATCGAACCCATTTAGTTTAGAATCTGCTTTCGTCATGATCAGGTTGTCCGTAAATAAGACTCTATCAGGATTTGTGAGATGAAGGGAGCGATAGAGGAGTCCGATGAGCAATATCTCCATCCAGGAACCTTGAAGTAAACTCATTTGATCTGTCATAGGCAACTGCTGAAAACCTTTGGAATTAAGAAAGTGTCATGTAAAATATAACACAGAACATTAATAAACTCTGTCCACACTACCATTTTTTTTTTTCGTGATGTGCCCATGGGCACGAAGATGTCATTACTAAATATGGGCATTAAACATTGGGCGTATTCGACTGGTTCACTTCGTTGACTACGAATTTTCGTTGAGTATCATTTTCATTCGACTGGTTCGTAAAATAGACTTTGTTGACAACGAAAATTAACGTAACCAGAATGCGTTAAGTTATCCATGTGCCAAAACAAACATGGCAAATTGGTCAGTTTAGAAACAACATTTGCGTTAATATAATTTAGATTAAATTTCAGAAAATAAAAATTATACAGTAATACTTTCCCACATGAAGCCAAAAATAATTGTAGCCTAACATAATTCAAAAACTGGATGAAAACATTTCTTTTACAAAAAAATCTATACTGCCACAAGCCGAAGCCATCTTGATTATGCAGCAAGTACCGCGGTAACTATGCAGCCATTTTGTTTTGTCGAGTATTTACAAGTTTTCCATTTAACTGGTTGTCTTCGTTAAGTAGTAATTTACCACGGCGCAGGTGAGCGTGGTTTAACGAAGAACGACCAGTCGAATACGGTTATTTGTCACATAAAATTTGGTAGTGTGGACAGAGCTTTACACTATATACTTTTCTCAATAAGAAAACAAAACGTAGAAGAACCACCAGCAAACACAAAATGTTAATGTGACATTCGCGAACGCTGTCAAAGTTTGTCAGATAAAATTTGACAGTGTAGAAAGAGCTTTAGTCAGAAAATAACGTTATCACAGTATTGCAGCTACGTCAGAAATTCGTCGTAAATACATACTTATTGTTCTGAAGTGTTTTGAATACAAAACTACAACGTTATAACGTGGTAGCTGGGTAAAACATCTTAAAATTACGTTCGATGCCGACAATGTACGTTACAAACGAACATTATCGGATCTCACCTGGAATTTGTTTAGCCCAGTTAACAGTAAATTTCAAATCTTTATCAGCTATATCGGCGACCATTTTGACAGCGCGATATGTAGGATCCTTGTCCTCAAGCGTCGGGTCGATTTCTAGCTTGACCATCGGGGCATCTATTCTCAATAGCAACTGAGTCAACTCATTTACTAAAATATAATATAAAATATAAATATTAATTGCTGATTACTGGATAATTTGTGAATTATACCAACCAGCATATTAAAAAACGCTAACATTTGTCGATTGGTTGATTATCCTTATTGGCACATTTAATGGACATTTACGCTAAGGTCCCACAAAACGACAGTGTAAAAACATACGCAAACACGAGCGTTTGTGGACAACACATGTGTTTGTGAGACATGCTCCTATTCGTGGTTCTGTTCTTATTGGTCAGTTGTCAAGTTTGATTGACACTTCGGAAATCCATTAGCATAAAACTGCTAAATATTCACGACGCATCATGGATACCATGTGACTAAATTTGGCCAATATAGAAATCGAAATTTCCTGCCTTACATTTCTTAGGTTTTGGTCTTTTACTCGGTGATGGTCCAAAATCTGTTTCTTCTGGTTTCCGCCTGTATTTCTGTCGCCCGCCTCTGAGTCTGTTCGGCCGCACGCCTTTTGGAAATACATAAATATAACACAATATGACATTTGGGAAGTCATAGTTTGTCGATTGGGTCTTTACGAAGCTTAAATATTTTCCATTCTATTCTCCAATTCATGCAGGACTGACTTGTCCAGGGCAATAAAGAGAATCACAGTGGAAGTGCCATATAAATTCATTATTCTTAATACCTGAATTAGCACGGAGAACACTAAAGCTGCATTCCACAAAAACAAAGGAAACATTTCATAATGAACTTTGACCGGTAAAAACCACAAGATACAAACATTACGAAATACAAGTTATTCAATGTCACATGAAATATTTCGAAACTGTGCAACCGAGTCAAAACATGACGTCACTTTAAATATGACTGCTAAGTAGTTTTATTTTCGCTGATCACTGACTACAAGAATGTTAAGCAGCCAATTTGTTGGCAGGCCCGTAGCCAGGTTCTTCCAAGGGGGGTGGGGGCGTTTCTGGGCGTAAGGTCCACAGTCGAAGCCCTGGTGGGGTCGGCGAAACCCCCAAAGCAAGAGGATTTTTGTGCTTTATGGGTCTAAATAATTCTATAAAAGCAGATATGTTTGAAAATGTCTGTGTCTGGGTGGGTCTGCAGTGCTTTAGTTGGGTTGGAGGACTTATTTGGGAAATGTTAAGAGTGGGTTTCGCCAGAAAAGAGGGGGGTCTGCTACAAAAGGGGGGTTCTCCCGAACCATAAAAACCTCCCTGGATACGGGCCTGGTTGGTATATATAAAGAACAAATCTATCGTTTTCTCAATGAACAATTTACTGCAAAAATGTAAAATTCATATAGGCCTACATTACAAATTGAGAATGATAATATTTTTTAATATAATTTCAAAAAGTTTCACACTATAAAATACACTGTTAAGTTGCAAAAGTTGAGACACATTAATGTTTCACAAGTTAAAATTCATAAATTGTTAAATTACTTATTTGTCTATTTACTGTCAAGAAAAATATATTTCGCTCTAATTAACTTGAAAGCTAATGACTTATATAGGCCTATACAAAACAAGCACTTGGTGAAGTATGAATAATATTCTACAAGTATTTCGATATTGTGATAACCTGTAAAATTGTATTCACATCTGCTTAATATTCGGATGATCGCTTATGCTGACAATGGGGAACATATTGGAGGGAGAGGGTAAATTTTAAACGCACATATTGTCATGACTTCTATGCGGTGAAGTGGTGTGGTTCGGTGGTTCAGCTGGCTGCCTTCTAATCCCAAGGCCATGGGTTAAACGTCACAAAAACGTTAGAATTTTTGTTACAAGGAAAACTAACTCCACTTCAGAAGTGTCTTCCAGAAACGTGGTAATAGAATATCTTAAGCAATTTGCAAGTGATCTACAATGGAGACTACAGTACATAAACA